GCCAAGTAGGCTCAGAGCGAGCTTACAGCCCGTAGCCAGCCCCGGCCTTTGAAGTAGCACGCTGCAGGCTGATTGGTCCTCCCCTGGCGCGGCAAGGCTCTCCACGGATTGGCCGGATCTCGTAGGAGTGTAGGAAGTAAACAACCCCACCCCCATACCAGCTCCCCACAGAGGAGGGGCAGAGGAGGGTGGCAGGCTCCCCGGAGCTTGCACTGGGCCCTTTGACTTCCGTGCTCTCCCACCCTGCTAGGAGACGCCCTGAAGCTCTGCCTGTTGTTGGTGCCCTGCCACCTCAGGGAGTGACCAGGAGGCCTGAAGCCTCCAGTTTGTTTTGTTTACATGTGTATTAATAATGCAACCTTGTTCTCCATCACTGAGATGGCTCTTGTACTTAATTTCCCCTGTAGATGATGCTGTCTGCCGTGGTCTTCTGTTTCTTTGTTTGTTTTTAGAATATTGTTTTATTTTTTGAAGTTTTTCATACATTTACAATGTGTCTTGATCACATCCACCCAGACTTTTCCTTCCCATTCTCTCCAAACATCCTTCAACATACTTCTCCCCATGGCATTTTTTTTTCTTTGTAGGTCACAGAGTCTAAACAGTGCTATTCACTGGAATGTTGACTGGACTGATCTTGTGCAGGTAACCACACCTGTGGTAAGTGTGAGTGCAATGCCTGTGCTGTGTATAGAAGGCAGTGTTTCACTCTGTCTTGTCTTTTCGTGACTTTCTTACCTCTAGGCTTTTTTTCTAGGCTGTTTGGTTCATTTCTTTCCTTGTTTTGTCTATATCTTTTTTTTTTTCTTTTTTTTTGGTTTTTACGAGACAGGGTTTCTCTGTATTGTTTCGTAGGCTATCAGTCCAGCCTGGCCTCGAACTCATAGAGATCCGCCTGCCTCTGCCTCCCGAGTGCTGGGATTAAAGGCGTGCGCCACCACCGCCCGGTGCTTGTCTATATCTTGAATCGATTTTGTAAGTCTTTTTGTCCAGGCCTTGAATTAAATTCTTTATCAAATGATTTTAGTCCTTCATTTGGTCATCGAACACATTTTAATCAGGTCTCTTGAATCTTTGTCTGCCACACCATCTTTGTTTCTCCATGTTAACAAGCTGTTAGCTTGTGGGCATGTCATAGTGGGGTATTATGAAATTGTTTTAAAGATGTATAAGTTATGTAAAATGAAAAATAAAAGTTAATGCTTCAAACATATGTAGCCACAACAGTCATGAAATGAAAACTCAGGTGTTAAGTTCTTGACAACAGCAGATGCTGAATGCTTTGTTAAAATACCAAGGACAGTTTATGCTGGAGAGGATGTTGAGAAAGGGGAACACTCCTTCATTGCTGGTGGGAGTGAAAATTTGTACCACCACTTTGAAAATCAGTATGGCAGTTTCTCAGGAAAATGGGAATCAGTCTACCTGACAATCCAACAATACCTCTTTCAGGCATATACTCAAAGGATGCCCTTTCATACAACAAGGACATCTGTTCAACTATGTTCATAGCAGCATTATTTGTAATAGGCAGAACCTAGAAGCAACCTAGATGCCCCTTAACAGAACAATGAATGTAGAAAATGTGGTACATTTACACAATGGAGTACTACTTAGCAGAAAAAAATGAAGTCTTGAAATTTGCAGACAAATGGATGGAACTAGAAGAAACCATCCTGAGTGAGGTAACCCAGACACAGAAAGACAAAAATGGTATGTACTCACTCATAAATGGATATCAAACATAGAGCAAGGGATTACCAACCTACAATTCACACCACCAGAGAAACTAGGAAATAAGGAGGACCCTAAGAGAGACATCCATGGACCCTCCAAAAAGGAGAAAGTAACAAGAGTTCCTGAGAAAATTGGGAATGGGGAGTGGGGGGAGGTAGGAGAAAGAGGAGAGAAGAGGAAGGGGGAGAACGAGAGATCAGGAAGACTGAGTTGGAGAAGAATAGAGGAAAGCAAGAAAAGAGATACCTTAATAGAGAGAGCCATTATAGGTTTAAAGAGAAATCTGCCACTAGGGAAATGTCCAGTGATCCACAAGGATGACTTCAACTAAGAATCTAAGCAATAAGCCGGGTGTTGGTGGCGCACGCCTTTAATCCCAGCACTCGGGAGGCAGAGGCAGGCGGATCCCTGTGAGTTCGAGGCCAGCCTGGTCTACAAAGTGAGTTCCAGGACAGCCTCCAAAGCTACAGAGAAACCCTGTCTCGAAAAAAAAAACAACAAAAAACAAACAAACAAACAAACAAAAAAGAATCTAAGCAATAGTGGAGAGGCTGCCTTAAATGCCCTTCCCCTATAATGAGATTGATCTCTACCTTATATGCCATCCTAGAGCCTTCATCCAGTAGCTGGTGGAAGCAGAAGCAGAGATCTACAGCTAAGTACTGATCTGAACTCCTTGAATGTAGTTGTAGAAAGGGAGGAAGAATGAACTAAGGGGCCAAGACCATCCTGGAGAAACCCACAGAAACAGCTGACCTGACCAAGTGGGAGCACACAGACCCCAGTCGTAAAACTGGGGAACCAACAGTGGACTGAACCAGGCCTGATGAATGTGGGTGTCAGTTAGGGGACCTCGGCTGTCTATGGGACCTCTGACAGTGGAACCAGCATTTATCCCTAGTGCACAAATGGACTTTGAGAGCCCATTCCCCATGGAGGGATACTCTCTCAGCCTAGATACAGGGGAGAGGACCTAGGCACTCCCACAAATGATATGACAGACTTTAATAATCCTTCAGGGAAGGCCTCACCCTCCCTGGAGAATGGATGGAGGGGGTCGGTGGGTGACATGGAGAGGAAACTGGGATTGATATGTAAAGTAACATTGTTTCTAAATTAAATTTAAAAATATTGTTTTAAAAAAGTTCTTGACACGTTTGACAAATGCTTCATCCTGTTTACCAGAAGACTGCCCATTTCGTTACATACCCTTGTACCCTGTGGGGGTTGTGGCAGGATGGCTTATCACACTTGAGCTTTTAGCTCAACCACATCCTCCCTACAAAATTCTGTGAGTTCCCTGGTTCCCTACAGTTCAGGAGGAAGGGTTAGGTGCTGACTGTAGGCCCTTTTACACTTTCTTTGAATTTGTCAAGCAGAAATGGCAAGCTCCTTCCTTGTTCCTTCTTCCTGATTATGATGTCCTGCTTCCTTTGCTTTATGTCAGATACATAATAGAACATACCTTCAACCATGAAAATCTCTTCTAGAGTGTGCTCACCAAGAAACATTTTGTCTCCCACGAAAGCTACCTCTTTCTGATAAAATAAGTAAATAAATAAAAAGATTGGAGCATGCTGGAAGAGCTAGAAGAACATGAGGCATTAGTGCCTGCAGATGATTATAATAACCCCTGTAGTACTTTTAAGGATTCGTTCTCTTTATTCATGCATACTTAATAAGGAAGTAATATAAAATATATGCCCCTAGCCTAGAGGACAGCCAGGTGGACATATGTCAAATGTAAACAGACTTTCTTCACTCTTTATTTGGCTTGCAAAGTTCAAATGCAATAAAGAGTAAATGTTTTAGTTCAAACTTCCTTCTGAGGGAATGTTTACTCTAAGTAATGATTACTCCAGTGATCATGGTAGGATTTGACCTTAACCTTACCTTTTCCTAGAATATAAGACAATAGTGGTGAGGCTGCCAGTTACAACAAAGAAAGCAACAGCAAACAGGTTTTAATGTCTTTTCCTAATAATCTAGATGCTTTACACATTCATAATAGCACATTAATCTAAATAGCACACAGATATACTGTGTCTATTGCTTCTTTCATTTCCTTTTAGTTGTAGCTAAGGATATGTTCTGTATATCTTATGCGTTAGCAGCCTTTCACATCCCAGAACACTACAATGTAGACCTTTTTTTGACTGATGTGTCCTAAGTAGGCTTGTTTGGGCTTTGTTTTGGGAGGCAGTGAGCATTGAATCCAGGGCCTATGCATGCTAGACAGATACTCTACCCTGAGCTACATTATCCTGGGGAGGGGGAAGGGCTTCCAGAAGCTTACAATGAGCATGAATATTTTAGGAAATATTAGTATTTTAACAATATGCTCTTCATATTTTGTAAAGAGGATATTTTGACCTGTCCTATGAATAATATCTGCTTTATACTTATAAAATAGTTTAAATAAGAAGCCAGGACTCAGACCCAAGTAGTCTACCCTCACTCTGCCCCATCTGTGCTCCTGAATTCAACCCTGGCTAATGTGTAATACGGCAACATGATGAGCTATGAGAATGTTAATAAAGAAAGAGCAATTATGTATTTAGACATGGTAAGTATGAGAAAGGTCATAGATGTATCAGACTTGTGCATAGTTAGTGTCTTAGTGTTCTACTACTGTGAAGAGATATAATGACCACAGCAATTTTTGGGTGGGCAGTTTCGAGGCAGGGTTTTTCTGTGCCTTTGGAGGCTGTCCTGGAACTAGCTCTTGTAGACTAGGCTGGTCTTGAACTCACAGAGATCCGCCTGCCTCTGCTTCCTGAGTGTTGGGATTAAAGGTGTACACCACCACCCTCCAGCCTGACCACAGCAATTCTTATAACCGAGAACCTTTAATTGGGGCTTGTTAAAGTTTCAGAGGTTTAGCCCATTTTCATCATAGCAAGGAGCCTGGAGGCATGCAGACAAATAATGGTGCTGGAGAAGTTGAGAGTTCTACACTAATCCCTCTCAAGTATTCCTGCTCCCAAATAAGCATTCATATATATATGAGCTCATAGGGCCATTCTTATTCAAACCACCACAGTTAATTATCATCTGGGCTTTTAATAAGTTATCAGTTTGTTCTAGATGACTTGGGAGTGTGTCTTTCCAGAGTCTTCTGTTAATAATCAAGTTATTTTTAAAATGTCTGACCAAGCTTTATGAAATATTATTGTAGGTGTGGACCATAGTCCAGAGGACACCTGTTAAGAGTTCCAACTTCTTTTATCCTGAAACAAGGAAGTGGACCAGGAACACACGGATAGTGGTAGAGACAGAGGCAGTTTATTAAATAAGAGAAAGGTGCTCTGTGCTGGAGCCTGGTGATGACAAAGTCCTGCCCTAGTACCATGACATTTACAAGTCATTTGTCCCAGCACCATGACATTTACAAATCATTTGCCTCAGCACCATGACATTTACAAGTCATTTACACACAGCACCCATCTGCCCCACAGGATTCCCCAGGCCCCTTTTCTCACATGCTTTATTTTGTAACCGTGAGTGAGTTCCCAGGTTTTCTTTTCTTTCCCTTGGCCAACTGGGTTATTTCCTATGGTAATCTTGATGACCAGTCCACCACAGTCTCCAACCATGGTATCACTATGTCCTGGAACATGTTAAATTCCACAGAATCCTTCAGAGTACGGCTGTATTATAGCAATTCTTTCCTGTTCCTGGTAGCCACAAGGAAAAACAGAAAATGTACACTGAAATGTTCTCTCAAAAGCAACTAATGGCCAAGGAAAGCAAATAATAAAACTAGCTTAGGAAACTCAAAACTCTTATTCTGCCATAGAAATATAAAAGAGAAAAGAAACAACAACAAAAACCCAATACAGTATCACACTTTCTACCATATGAACAATCTACCTTTCAATGTATAATATTGTTGAGGGATCAGCCAGGAGAAGGTGAAGGGAGGGTGATAGGGTGTGAATAGAGCAAAGCACAATGGTCTACATGCATGGAGATCTACATGCGTGAAAACCTACATGCATGGAAATCTACATGCGTGAAAACCTACATGCATGGAAATCTTCATGCATGAAAATCTACATTCGTGAAATGTATGGACTGTCATAATTTAGCTCACTGATTTATGGCTAACCAAAAATAGACACCTGAAATAAAAAGAAGTTAATGTTATAATATTTTGAAATGCCATAACTAAGCTAAGCAAGTAGGCAACCAAAACAGAAGTTATTTCTCAAAAGGTGGGAAAGTTTTGTTCTGTGACACAGCTGCTTACCACAACTCCTGTTCTAGTCAACATCCACAGGGAAGAGACAACAGTTTGAAATGTGCTCCAGTCCCATGGATGCCTGAAAGGTTACTCTGTTTCCCTAACACAGACATCTCTTGTCTTGCTTGCTGTTTTCTTTTGATAATATGATGACTACAATCTCTCCAAATATCATGGTCTTCCTTGCTGCCCTCTCTCCCCCCCCCCACCCCCAGACTTCTGTTGCTCCTGTTAGATCCATTCATGTTTGTCCTATCATTGTGCATAGTGTTCCCTGTCTTGGCTCCTTGCACACCAGTATGATGGGTACTCTGCATCAGTACTGCTCCCTTCTGCAAGGATCAATTGGCATTGAAACCTATCATTATCAATTCTCACACTAGTTTTCAATTACTAGGTTTCTATATCAGGCCCCCAGAACTTAGCACAACTGATGTCATGATAGAAGTACCACTCAGGACATAAAACTCAGCATGTAGGCAGCACCACATGCCAAAATGAAAACAAAGACCTAATCCATCAGAGTTCACAGTTCTGGGAAGGTCCCTAAATATACTAACCTTGTTTTTTTATGTTGTTGCTTTGGCTTCTATACTTCTGCTTCTGGCTAACTGTTCCTGTTAACTGGAGAGTATCAACCCAGGATATGGTTTTTGGCCTTAAAAACTCACCCTGAGAAAGGCTTGGTGGTACACTGGCATCCTGAATAGTCAGTGTAGTCTCCAGCCAGATAATAAAGACTTCCTATTGGTTTAAACACATGTCCGAGCAGTGTTCTCTGGTGGATACTTCACAAGAGTTTCCAGTAGCCTTTACTTCAAAATTCTACTTCTCTAGTGGACCTTCATGGGAGGCTACAAGTTAGTTCGACCACCCCCCCTGCCTGGACACACACACCTACTATACCCAAGTTCCTGATCATCCCGTAGGTTTCCGCTGCTGGGACGACAGTTCAGCTCAATGTTTAGTGACAATTACACTGTGGTTCCAAATACCATAAAGGGAGCCAACCTGTGCATTGACTGACAGCTCATATCTGTCCACCCCTGAGAGAAAAATAATCCTCTAACAGAGAGCCAGAACAATTGACAACCTTCTGTTGGGACAGCAGAATACTACAGCTTACTGCTGCTCACTGTGCTCTAGACACGGTAATAATACAGTTCAGTAGAAGCTGCAGTTCTGCCAAGAAGGCAGAGAGCAGTAGTTTCACCCTACTGAGGAGTTCTTGGGGAAGTGTTAATATGTCTTAGTTCTTCCATAAGTGACAGAAGTCATAGACAAATGATCTGCTGGGAACCTCTGTAAAAACAAGACAGAGAGAGAAAAGCAAAGATCAAAAATAAGTCTCTAAGACTCTTGATGGTTGTCCTAATGTAAAATATCTCCGTTTCTACATGTAGCTCGTATGATGAAACCTGTCTATAAATGAGTCATGGGGCTATAAAGATATGAATAATCTCTTAACATCCATTCATATCTAGACTCTTTTACCTTCCAAGCAGCATACCAGGTGTGGCCACAGTCATCCTTTGTAAGGAGCTTTGTTTGAAACTGAAAAGAATATCTGTGTTTGATTTGCCTTGAGAATTCAGAAAAGACAATAATTTTGCTCTGTGAGTACTACTATAAACAAAATTCTGGGAGCTGGCTCAGAGGTCAAGAACACTGACTGTTCTTCCAGAGGTCCTGAGTTCAATTCCTAGCAATCACATGGAGGCTTGGAACTGTCTATGATGGAATCTGGTGCCCTCTTTGGGCATGCAGGCATATGTGCTAGCAAAGCACTATACATAATAAATAAATAGATCATTAAAAAAGAAAGAAAGAAAGAGAGAAAGAAAGAAGGAAAGAAAGAAAAATACAGTGTGAAGAACTCAGGCAGGAAATGCTCACACATTTTACAACTGAAATGTGTTTAGGACTCAGGTAAGTAGAAAGAAAGTAACACATGGGATTGATAAAAACAGCTTTTTTTTTTAAGTTTAAGTTCCAAAGAGGTAAAAGTGAAATGAATCTGTCTGAGAATCCCCCAAAGCTTAATTAGACATGCATCATAAAAAGAAGTCTCAAGATAACTCTAGTTCTCATGAAGGCTCAATACTGTACTATGTAAATATGAGTTCTGAGTCAGTGTCCTGATTAATCTGTGAACAACCCTGGGTCCAATAACTGACACAATATAAAGAGGGTTTTCAGCACTGGACATGAAATTGGGCCTTGTAAGATCCATACTCTTCATCTGAGATGCAATGACTTGCAGTCAGAGTGATCCTCAAGGAACTGTAGTGAGAAGGAAACATACAGCTGGATAGATTTTTTTCTCTCCCTCCCAAATTTTTCTGTCTATTTAGAAGACAGAAATTAGTAACTAACTGAATACAAAAGGAAAAGAAAAAAAAGCCCTTCGAGTTAGTCATTACTACACCACAGAAGAATCTCCAGTGACTAATATCAAAGTCAATAGTTGAACACATAAAGGCAAAAAAAAAAATCTTGGAAATTACTTACCCCAGTTTTCCTCTGTCTCACTGTTCTTGGAACCTATGCCTTTGATAATAAGATGGGTGGTAGAAATATCAAATGAGTCAAGATCATAAAACACTGTATTATAAGACAAAAAGCAACATGCTTTGTAGCAAAACAAGCCTGTCTTCCATATGGCCCTTGAAGCCTGATAGTTATTTAAATTCAATAGACATAAGAAACAGAATAGTAGCTCCAAAGACACACTTGTGCTAATCTCCCACATTTTTGTGCGTGTTACCTCACATCACAAAGGTTCTTGCAAATGAGGTTAAATTAAAGATCTTCAGATGAAGGACTCTTTCCAGGTTAAGCAGGTAGCCTAACCCAATCCTGGAATTCCTCATTAGAGAAGATGGGAACATTATTGACAGAGAGAAAACTGAGGGTGCTGCTCTGTTGACTCTGAATGTGGGGTAAGAGACTGTTGCCATGGAAAACAAATGGCTTCTAGGGACTGTCAAAGCCAGTAAACAGAGTCCAAAAGAAAGACGGACCTAGTATTCATTTTGGCCCAATACAATTCATTCTGAACCTCTGCTCTTCAGAACTATGTAATTATGGTATGTTTACACCAATTGTTTTAGTACATTTATGTTGCCATAAAATTTATCATAAGCTGGGTGGCTTATAAACAATAAAATGTCCAAAATAATTGAAGTGGCAAATTTGATATCATTTGACTCATGGATGTTGTGACTTCAGATGGTAGAATGACAAGAATTCTTCTGTGCACTTTTATAAGGGCACTAATTCCACTTATAGGGGTTCCTCCCCATGAGCTACTCATGTCTCAAAGGCCACAACTCTTGATGTCAAGTCAGTGGACATCTGAATTTCAGTACGTGAAGGGAGGGCACACCCCTTCTAATAGCACTGCTAGTTTGTTGTCACTATTATAAAACATTGTTATGTTTACTCAGCCTCAAGATCTTTTTGAATAATGTATTAGGTACTTTCCTAGGGATACTTTCCTGAGAAGTCAAATATACAACTCAGGTAAAATTTAACATGATACTAGCATACTGATGATGACGTAATCATTACTTGTCTACTCAATTAATACCCTGGACCCAGATGTCCTAAGTTGTTTTCTCTGTTGCTGTGAGAAGACATTGATCAAAAGCAACTTGAGTAGAAAGGGGTTTATTGGCTTACCCTTCCTCATCACAGTTCATCCATCACTGATCAAAACTAGGGAAGGAACCTGGATACAGGAACTGATGCAGGACTGCAGAGGAACACTGCCCACTGGCCTTCTCCTCTTGATTGGCACAGCTTGCTGACTTATTCAACCCACCTGCTATGGGTAAGGCCAAGCACTAAGAACATAAAGAAGGAAAAGGTGGCAAGACTTCCTTCTACATAGAGCTGCAGTTTTCAACTACAAAAGTGTCAACTCATGACCCGAGAGTCCTCATTTAGCTTGCGCTACGGCAGGACTACTTCTGATACCTCTGAAACATCAACAACACTGAATCGTCCAAAGACTGAATCCTAAGCTTCACACAGCTGGCCTACCACGTGATAAATTGAAATACATTAACGGAAGCTACAAACACCTGCTGGGCAAGATTTCCATACCAGTAACCAGTACTTGACACCTGACTGAAGATGCTTAGGTCTCATTACAAGTGGGTAAACATGAATAACCAAAGTGCCAATTCTCCATGAAAAAATTAGTATGTCCAGAGTAATGTCCCCTGAGAAAAGCAACCCAAATGTCGTACAAGACAATGATTTCAAAATAGCAAAACTGAAAATAGCCAAAGAATTCTAAGAGAATATAAATAACTGCTAGAACAAACACCACAAAACATGGTTGACTGAAGTTATGGAAAGCCAAGAAATGAAAACAGAATTTAATGGACAGAACTTCTGAAGTAAAGCAAAATGGAATATGATTTAAAACATAATATGCATGAATTAAAAAAATCAGAAGACAAGATCACCAGTAGATTGATCATGTTGAAGAGCAGATATCCGGACTTGAAGGCAAGTTAGAAGAATTAGATCATTCAATGAAAGAAAACATCTAATCCAAACTATCCCAAGAAATCAAAACTGCAGGAACTTGGATGTTATACAAAGACCAAACCTGTAAAAAATAAGTTCAGAAGAAGAGGAGGCAGAGGTCAAGGGTAGAAAAGATTTTTGCAACCAAATCACAGAAAAAAAAAAAAAACCCTTCCTTAATCTGAAGTAAGAGGTGCCTATTAAGGTCTGACAGGAATACAGAGCATCAAGCAGACAGCACTAGAAAAGAAACTCCCCTCTGTATACTGTGAATATGATTTATTACCATTGGTTAATAGAGAAACTTCTTTGGCCTACAGCAAGGCAGGATAGAGGCAGGTGAGAAATCAAAGCAGAGATATAGGGGAAAAAAAAGAAGGGTATCAGGGGCAGATGCCAGTGAGCTGTCTGAGCAACAAGATGTACCAGAGAACAGGTAACACCTCTTACATACAAATACATAATATAGATGAATGGAAATGAGTTAATTTAAGTTGCAAGAGCTAACTAGTAATAAGCATGAGCAACAGGCCAAATGATTTGTAAGTAATATTAAGTCTCTGAGTGATTATTTTAAAAGAGGCTGCAGGACAGGGAGGAACAGAAAAGCCTCTTTTAAAATCCCTCATGACATCAAAACACTAAATGTTCAGAACAACAGCAACAAGCAAAAGATAATAAAAACAGGCAGCAAGAAAGACCGAGTCACATACAAAGGCAGGCTCATCGTAATAACAGCAGATTTTTCAATGGAGACTACGATGGTCAGAAGGGATTGGGCTGGTGTTCATAATCAAAAGACCCAAAGCTAGTCTCAGCCAATACAGGAAAATAGAAATTACATTCTGCATTTTATCTGACAACCATGTATTAAAGCTAGATATTAACAACTAAAGAATACATATTCATGGAATCTAAACAACACATTACTGAATCAAAATTGAGGGAAGAAAGAAATCAAGAAAGAAATTTAAGAATTGAATAAAATAAAATAAAACAAGGCAATTACAAGAATAAAGCTTAACTCACTATATGCCTATGTAATTTTTTGAGAAGCCTCAAGTTAACAACTTAGTGATACATCTGAAGGCCTTCTAAAAACAAAAATAATCAACACCTCCCACAAAGAAAAGTAGATAGAGATTACTAAAATCCTGGCCAAAATTAATGGAATTGAAATGAAAATTACAAAATAAATCAATGAAACAAAAAATTAGTTTGAAAGAATTTAGAAAGTTGATGAACCTATCGCCTAACTAACCAAAAGGAAGAAAGGATCCAAATTAATAAAATTAGAGAGGAAAGCAACTTTCATCAGACCCCAAGAAAATTCCAAGAATCATAAAGACATACTTTAAAAACCTTCTTTTTTTTTTTGTTTTTGTTTTTGTTTTACGAGACAGGGTTTCTCTGTATTGTTTTGGAGGCTGTCAGTCCAGCCCAGCCTCGAACTCACAGAGATCTGCCTGCCTCTGCCTCCCAAGTGCTGGGTTTAAAGGTGTGCGCCACCACCGCCCAGCTTAAAAACATTATTTTCTACCAAATTGAAAAATATAAATAGAAAATGGATGAATTTCTAGATGTATGCAAGCTTCTTCCAAAGTTAAATCAAGGTGAATTAAGTACTTTAAATAGACCCAAGGTAGCCTGTGAGATAGAAACAATAATTACAATCTGCATACCTCCAACCCAAAAGCACATAACCATATGGATTCACTGCAGAATTCTATCAGACTTTTTTTTTAATTTATTTTTCAGTTTAAATTTAGATAAGAAACAAGGTTGCTTCACAAGTCAGTTCCAGATCCCTCTTCCCTTTCCCTCCCCTCCTCCCGTGCCCTCCCCCAACCCCCTTATCCCCTCATTTCCCCAGGGAGGGTGAGGCCCTCCATGGGGGTGTCCATAGTCTGTCATTTCATATAGGGCAGGGCCTAGACCCTTCCCCAAGAGTTCGAAGTCAGAGTGCACCTCACATTGTTGGATGGGAGTCCAAAGTCCGTGTGTATACTCGGGATGGGTACTGATCTGCTACCCAAGGCTCAATAGATTACCTAGGCCTCTTCACTGACACTCACATTCAGGGGGTCTTGATCAGTCCCATGCTGGATTCCCAGGCTGATGCCTGAGATTCAAGAGCTAACCCTTGTCAGGTCAGCTGATTCTGGGGGTTAAACCAGTCCAGTCTTAATCCCTTTGATCATCAGTCCTCCCTCTCTGTTACTGGCTTTCTTGAGTTCAGCTCAATACTTAACCGAGGGAGTCTGCCTCTTCTTCGATCAGCCACTAAATGATGTTTCTGTTTCCCAGACTCTTTGACCATGAGATTGTAGGCTGGCCCTCCCCAGATCTATGTCTAAAATCCATATATGAGAGAGTACATGCCATGTTTCTCTTTTTGTGACTGGGTTACCTCACTCAGGATGGTTTCTTCTAGTGTCATCCATTTGCCTGCGAATCTCAAGACATTCAAATCCCAGACTTTCAAAGAAGAACTAACACAAATACTTCTCAAACTATTTCAAAAAATAGAACATTTTAAAATTCCTTTTATAAATCTGATTATTACTCTGATACCCAAAGCAGACAAAAATCCAACAAAAAGAAAGAGAGAGAGAGAGAGAGAGAGAGAGAGGAAGAAGAAGAAGAAGAAGAAGAAGAAGAAGAAGAAGAAGAAGAAGAAGAAGAAGAAGAAGAAGAAGAAGAAGAAGAAGAAGAAAAGAAGGATGAGGAGGAGGAGGAGGAAGGAAGGAAGGAAAACTATAGGTCAATATCTTTGATGAACATAGACATATAATTTTTCAATAAAATATAAAATTCTCAAAGACTAAAAAGAAAAATTTTAAGAATAAATTTGATGGATTTGAACTAGGGGAAGGTGTAAATCCCAAATTACTTGGATGCTTCCTATAATGTGTGTGAACCATTTGCTTTTGTAGCTGTAGTCTACTTATTCTTTATTTATTGTGTGAAACATTGTCTCTCCCTGAACCAGATTGGAGGGTGACCAGCAGGCCCTGGGGTTCCTCTTGTCTCTGGCCCCTGTAGACCTGAAGTAATAGAAGTGTGAGGAGAGCCATGCTTGACTTTTTATGTGGATGATGAGGATTTGAATTCAGGTCTTTGTGTTTGTACAACAAAACTCTTACCCACTGTCCCAACACCTCAACCCATAAAAACCTCAGCCAGGCTTGGTGGCACACTCCATCAATACAGCACTCAGGAGGCAGAGGCAGGGAGATCTCTGAATTCAAGACCAGCCTGCTCTACATAGTGAGACTGTCTCAAAAAAGAAAGAAGACAAAGATTGACTTCCTATATGCTGTTTAAATGATTCATTTAATTAGGAGTAAACTCCCTTGTCTATAAGAAACTGGTTTGAGCAGCTCATGGCAGCTTGTGAGGGGATTCCTTAGAAGGGCCAATGCTCGTGAAAACTTTCTGTTCTTTTCACCATTATTTCCACAGAGCAATGGAAGAAAACTTATCTTGTGCTTACTGTGAGTCAGACGGAGACACTGGCAAGACATTCCCCTGGGTCATCTCTTCTCTGTTTTAGGAGTTGGTATTACTAAACCATATTTTTCAAGTCTACAGTGTACAAGATTATTGGGTCAGATAAGATCATAAGCCTATCAAGTTTCTTTTGTGGATTAGGTTTGTACAGTTTAATGATATAAAATGAACTTTTTTTTGTAGAAATATAGCTTTCTTTGTGAGGAACTTAGTTGAAACTAACCAGTCTCACAACCATAATAGTGAGCCACAGGTCTGTATGAAGCCTCCTGTTCCCAACACACTGCTAGTCCCTGAGGATGTTTTCCACCTTCCTATCAGGATACAGGAAGTAAAGCAGATTGTAAGGAAAAAGTCACACTGTTAGTCCCTGAGGATGTTTTCCACCTTCCTATCAGGATACAGGAAGTAAAGCAGATTGTAAGGAAAAAGTCACACTGTTAGTCCCTGAGGAGGTTTTCCACCTTCCTATCAGGATACAGGAAGTAAAGCAGATTGTAAGGAAAAAGTCACACTGTTAGTCCCTGAGGAGGTTTTCCACCTTCCTATCAGGATACAGGAAGTAAAGCAGATTGTAAGGAAAAAGTCACACTGTTAGTCCCTGAGGAGGTTTTCCACCTTCCTATCAGGATACAGGAAGTAAAGCAGATTGTAAGGAAAAAGTCTTGTTAGGGCTAAATGAAGTGGGTATATGTGTGTGTTTGAGGGGGGTTGTCGAGAACATCCTTTCCCAGAATAAAATATACTTGCACTCATCTAATAAATAATAAAGCACAGCCTTAAAATAAGCATAATACATTACTAATTTCCTAATTAAATTCATTTATTTATTTTATATATTATTACCCCTCCTTTCCCTCTCCTATCCCTTTCCCCACCCCTTTATTTTTTAATAAGTTTTTATTTAAATTAAAAACATACCAATTCCAATTCCTTCTCTCCCTCCCATCCTCCCATGCCCCCAGCAACCCCCATCCCACCCCCCTACCCATTCCCCAGGGAGGGTCAGGCCTTCCCCTGTGTATCTAGGTGGAGACAATATCCATCCATAGGGAATGGACTCCCAAAGCCCATTCATGCACTAGGGATAAATACTGGTTCCACTGCCAGAGGTTCCCCACCTTTCTGAACAGAAATAGAGCAGAAACATGGCAGTAATGGCACACACCTTTAGTCCCAGCACTCTGGAGGCAGAAGCAGACAGATCTCTAGGAGTTTGAGGCCAGCCTGGTCTATAGAATGAGTTCCAAGACAGCCAGGGCTTCAAAATGAAACCCTGTCTCAAAAACCAACAAACAAATGCCTTACAAAAATGACTGGAGATACACACTACTTTCACAAAGCCAAGAAGTGTCAATACAAGAAACATGGAGGCAGAAGACTTTGAAGGCTAGAGAGATGGCTCAGCAGTGAAGAGCGCTTGTTCTTGCAGAAGACCTGGGTTCCATTCTCAGAACCTGCATGGCCACTCACATCAGTCTGTAATTCCAGTTCCAGGGAGCTGATGCTTTCTGATCTCTGCCAACACAGAGGGTGTGTGCATATATACATATTTGCAAGCAATGGACATAAAATAACTAGACATAAAAGTATTTTTGAACAGAACAAGAGGGAGAGGAAGAGATGAAGAGGCCAAGAGATGCTTTGTAACCTGGTATTTCATCCTTTTTGGGACTCATCAGTACAATGTAGCTACTCTATGAAGATTTTAAATACTTTGATTTTAGGGCTCAATAGTATACATACTACTGATAGATTAAGTATTGAAGTTAGTTAAGAGAAACTTAACTAACTGCAATTTGAGTGAAATAGATCCAATCAAATGGTGGAACTAAAATTTGTTTAAAAGATGTACTTAGAGCAGAAGAATATAGTTGAAAACTAAAGTAGAGAAACATTTTGACAATGTCACTAATGTTTTACAATGCAGAGTATAAAGTAAATCTTCATTTTAAATACTTTTTAAATTCTTCTATATGTTGGAATGAATTTTGAAAAGAATGTGTAGTTGGGGGGGGTTGGTGGTGAAGGCCTTTAAACCCAGCACTCGGGAGGCAGAGGCAGGCAGATTTCTGTAAGTTCGAGGCCAGCCTGTTCTACAGAGCAAGTTCCAGGACAGCCTCTAAAAGAATACAGAGAAACCCTGTCTTGAAAAACAAAACAAAAAAAAAAAAGAATGTGTAGTGTGTTTTCCCAAATTATGGGATGGTGCAAATGGTCATCTATCATTATTAAATCATGCCCATACTTTCAGTCCTTAGCTTTGAACCTGTGACCGCCCTGTTTCAACCCTGAAGTAGCTGGGATTACAGGTGTGTGTCACCACACCAGTCATTCTGCTTTTCTTTCTTTTCACTCTTTCTATCTTTCTTTTTTTTTTTTTCTGAAACAAGCTGTCTCTGGGTCACTTTGTGGACTGAACTGAACTTGAACTAACAGAGATCTACCTGCCTCTGTCTCCTGAGTGCTGGGATTAAAGACTTATGCCACCACTGCCCTCTGCTTTTCATTACTGAAGTCCAAGGGCAAGTGAACTTTGAGGAACTCGTTTTTGTAATTTCATAAACTCAAAAGGAGGACTGTCCGCACAAGAACTTCATATCATAAAAGTGGGGTTCACTAACATTAATTGTACTGCAGGTTTAAGGTATGAGTGTTAACACCTGTTTTAGACTCATCCATGTTCTTCTAAACCCCTGTATGTGCAGTTCTCCGAGATGGTTTTCATTTGTGATGTCAACACAAATATTCACAGTTCCTTTTGATATCTATCAAGATAGGGGATAGAGCAGCAACTGTAGATACCAGGTTACAAAGCATTTCTTGGCAAAGACTAAAAAGAAGAGAGAGGAATTTGGCACTGAAGTGTATAGTTGCTGGGCTTGCTGCAGATCCATCTCCTGTCTGCATAGACTCTGGCGCTGCTGATGCCATTCTTATTCAGGTAGGCATAGTCTCCCACTCCTTGGATGTGAGTCCTGAAAATAAACCAAAAACAGTAAGTCTGCAGAGCCCAGAACTGCACTGGCACCAGCACTGAAACCTTGCCTGTCTCCTCTGCTTACTTGTAATAGGAATCAAAGGAAGGCAGAGTGCACGAGCAATCATTTGCATTAGTTTTGAAACTGCTGCCTTTTACGTTTGAACGTCATCTTTGTCATTCATCCACATTGATCCCTGTAATGTGTGCACAGAGCATTTGACTGGTGCTTGCTGCCATGCTCAAATGAACTACAGCCATGGGAGGCCTCACTGACGGTGATTTTTCAGTTCTGTTTTGAAGCATTTAACATATGGGGAACTCACTTCTCAGTAAATTGTTAAAAAGACTTTAATGATCGACAAGATGGGGCCAGTGATTTAACATTCCAGTATAAGGACTCCATTCAAAACAGTTATGCTCACATCCAAGAACTGTTTTGGGTGCTGATTACAAGACTTTAGAGGTTTCCAGTGCCCTTGGAATCTGCTTCTGTGAACCGGAGGAGCCATGCAAACAGTGGACTGATGAGTCTCAGGCGTGCACTTCTGCAGTGGCTTCCTGAAGTTTCAGAGCCCTAACTGCCCGTCTGAGGTTTGTCTACATTCCACACAAGGCATTTATCAACAACCAAAACGTTTAAATTGGAGAAGACAATAGCTACCTCAGATGCCATCATCCCAGCGAAGGTTTTGAGTAGAATCACACTAAGTAAAGCTTTTAAAAATGATGACCAGTGTACCTCTGAGGCAGCACAGCTGGGTTCACATGACACAGCCATTCTTCTCTTAGAGATACAACTCACACACTTCCCAACAAATGATCACAATAGAAGGATCACAATAGCTCAGCCATTAAAGACTAGGCTAACAACCAAAAATATAAGAAGGAAAAGTGGTTTGAAAACATACAAGTTGTTGTATTCAGTGTTGTCTGTCCACATCCAAGGGTGCTCTGATGACTCTCTCTTCAGGCCGATCCAGTAGTCAGAAGTCCCTTTGTATCTCCTCAGGAAGTTCTGTCGTAGAACACGGAAAGTGAACATATGTGTTTCTCTGTTTCAGATGACCCTTGAGTGTCCCTACCCCACACCTTCCTCATTAGATGATAGGAGGGTATAAACCAGGGACACAGACTTTGGAGCCATAATAGCTCTCAGTTATCAGTAGACACAGTTGACATCTACAATTCTTAAGTACCACATTTGGTATTAAAGTACTGAGTTTAATGACATATCCGTCTTTGCTGGGATAGTTCCTGGTTAAACCTCCCCACACTGTTATTAATAGGTGTCACCTTCAGGATGCAACATGGGCTAGCTTAGAGAAAATTGCTCATGACCACCAAGTATCTCAATAAAATGGCTGATCTGACCTTCCAGATTGACTATGAGCACTACATGAGAGAATGTTTCTTGAATGTCTCAGGGTTCCAACCAGAAGTGTTACCATCAGCAAATGGAACACACTTGCACGTTCCCCATGTCTCCATCTGTGTGGGGTGGGATCCTTCCTCATGCTTCAATTTTTACCTCCCTGTCTCAAGGCAGTACAAAGCAACCAGAGCAAACAAAAAACCAAGTCCTGATCCTTTCTTACCAGATCCTCCCAGCTGTCAAAATGAACTAGTTGGGCTTCTTGTTCTTTGCAGAAGGTCTGGCTGGTTGTCCAGTTATTTGTGTTTTCAGAAAAATAAAAACATCTACTACCAAATCCAATCCAGTTTCTCGGGCAATAAGCATAGGTATTTTTCATTGAGGTCTGTTCTGGGCTTCTTGCTAAAATTAGAACAACACGATGAATTATAACAAGCACTGGCATACTCTACTGAGTTCAGCTGTGAATTTGACTGTAGTTTTCCTAACTGATCTATAGAAATCCTCTCCCTAGCATGATGGGCTTTTATTTACAGGCATCCCAGCTCTGGCCTGTGCCCCAATCTCTGTGGGGTTCTCACTGACAATAGGGCTCCCAGGAAGTGAATTTCTGTAATATCATCATTTTTTGTGCCTTATGATTGCTCCCTACAGCAGGGGTTGCTAGAGCAACAATCACTCTGTATGACACCTACTTTGACAGTGAAGACTATCGGGAAGGTAGTGCATACAGTGTGGACACGTTGCACTAAGGGATAGTTCATATGTTGAAATATATTGCTGGCGGATTAGAGGCCACAGTCTGCCATAGCCTAGCAGCTTTCTGTCTAAACTTGACACGTTGGTACTCCCTCCCTCCCTATCAAAGCTTCCTGCTCTCTACCCACCCTTATCTGGAGGATGTCCCTGGCATGGAGGACTAACCTTATCTGAAAGCTGTCTTTACACCAGATACCTGTCTCTAAAACCAGATGCCTGATCTCTAGCTTGACCTTGATACAGATCCCTGCTAAGAAGACTTGTGCTAGAAGCTCTGCTATAGGAACCTACTGCCACATACCAAGTCTTGTGATAGGATTGTGCTACTTAATACAAATTAGGGTTTGCCCCCAGCAGCCCAGTCCTATATATTCCTTATTCTCTGGAATAAAGTTGAGCTGATTCATCGAAGTCTGTCTCCTGGAGGCCTCCCTTCATCCATGCTCATGGGCTACATACAAAGCTTTCTGTCAACCCTCTGCATCTTTCCCCTCTCAACCTGGAGGCCAATAGGCCCAGGAGGAAAAATTACACCCCACAGATGGCAAAGGTACAAGACTTTCATTATGCAATTCTCAACAATGTGGTACTAAAATTGATCATCTCAAAAACCTTTCATTGAATACTTTCAAAATACAGTTGAACAAGGTAATTAAAATTATGGATAATGGCCGGGGGGGGGGTGCTGTATCTTCCTGGCCATATTACTCTTCTCTGTCCTCACACTTTCTTGAGGTTCCTCCTTTGAGTTTCCCTCTTCTTCTTCTCTGCCTTGAATTGTTCTCCCAGGTAGACATATGTCTTCTGCATCTGTATCTGGAGGTCGATGAATGCCATCTTCCCAGTGATGCTGAGCCTGGAGTCCTGTGCACACCACAGCCTGTGCTGTCTCTTCACTGCACCTTCCTGATAGACCCTAAGTTCCCAGAAAACAGGAGTTTCTGGTGTGTTTTCTCTAGAGTCCTTCCTAGAGTCCTTCCTCACAGTATAAGTATATAGGCATAACTGACAACGTAAATGTGGACAGAATTCTGCAGAATTTGGAGAAAGAGTTACTTACCTGGCAATGACAAAGCAACAGAAAGTACAATCACAGCTACAGTGAGAGCCATGATCACTGCATAGCAGCAGTAAAGCTTAACAGGAGACTCAGTGCAGACGAATCTTAGACATTTTCCTTGGAACTTTTTACCTGGAAAATATAAATATGAGAATATCAACCTCAAGAACCTTTTAAGGAAAAAGATAACTTTGCCCAGAATCATCTGTAGATTTGGCTCGCACTCCCCCATTGCAAACGCTCTTCACAGAAGTTCCTGGTCTATAAATGATGTCTATGGCCCACAGAAAGGGAAACAGCACTGTCGCCATGGAGTCTTCCAATTACTGAACTAAGAGTCAATAAAGGAGCAAAAAACAGAAAAAGTGACGATCAGAACACACACACACACACACACACACAAAACCCCATAGATTTAGTTCCATAAGAATAGACTGGTTAGGACTGAAGGAAACATTGTTGGCGTTGGGTATGGCATGGATCAGCAAGACACTAAGAGGTTAAGAACAGTTGTTGCTCTTCTAAAGGACCCAGGCTTGGCTCCCAGCTCCCATATGGGGCAACTCATGACAGCCTGTGTAACTCCTGCTCCAGTCAACAAGACAGACACATTGGCACACTTCTGTATTTTCAGTACTAGACTGGCAGAAGCTGGAGGGTCACAGGTACAAAGCCAGCCTTGACTACATAGGAAGTTTGAGACCAACCTGAAATACATAAGGGTCAGTTTCAAAAAACCTAGTAAGTAAATAAATTAATAAACACACACATAACTGTAATAGAACACGTTGATATAATTAATGGGAGAAATATGGGAGCATTTTAACAAGCTTACCAAAATCGTGTAAAAAAGTTAATATTAGTTCAAATCAGCAAAAACTCTCAACAAGTTAGGAATAGGAGGAACTCTTCCCAACACATTAATGGATATAGAGCATTTCAAGGAAATCGTCAAGGTGATTTCATCCTTTTTACATTTACTTTTATTGATTTGCCTGCGTATATGTCTGCACATGCTGTACATGTCTGATTCACAAGAAAACCAGTAGGGGGTGTTGAATCCCTGGGAACTGGAGTTACAGACAGTTGTGAGTAGCCTTGAGGATGCTAGGAACTAAACCTGGCTTCAAGATAACTTTCAAATTGCATGAAAATGCAAAAGAATTAGTCTAGCTCAGCAATTTAGAAAAAAGAGGCCATATTTGTAGAAACGGTGCCATCTAATCACAGAGTGACAGAAACAAAGGCATAAATATGGTTCAGGCAAAAGTGTAGACACATAAACTAAAAGAACAGACAAAAACAATAATAAAACAACTTGTGAACAAGCCAGTTGGGGCCTGAGTTGCCTGAGTTGTATTTAACAGAGTTGGACGTATCTGGGGCGATGAGGTCGCTGCAGGCCATCATCCTAGGCACCTGGCCATGGCTCCCGCTGCACACTGTTCCACTCTGGCTTCTTTCTGCATGCAACCCTCACCTAGCTTCTCTACACAAGATGCTGAGACAATCTGTATCCACATGCTAAAAGCTCACATCTCCTGCCTCCTGTAAAACGTTACCCAAGCACGAAGCCTAGGACTATAAAACTGTCTGAGGAAAACAGAAAAAGAAAAATCTCTATGAACTAGTCTTGAATAAAAATGTCTCAGATATAATACCAAAATCCTTATCTACATGATAGAAAATGGAACACTTCAATTGAGTTTAATTATAAAAGCCCACTTTTATAAGTGGTCTGAATAAATAATACATACTCCTAACTAATCCCTCTAACTGATGAGCAGTGTTAAGCTTTCAATGCCTAACTGATTTTACTGAACATTGTCACTCAGGTCTACCCATGTTGTCACAAAAGATGCCATATCATCCTCTCTTAAATTGGATCACAATTTTCCCTACTTATTTAATTCAAAATGCAGGTGTGTTCTATGTGCTGGTTATTGTAAACAGTGTTCAATACACACTCGGGTACAAATATCACTTACTGGACTTGGGAGAGTAGAGAAGAAGGAGTCAATGTTTGCTATAAAGAGGTTGTCAGTTCTGGTATCAAAGGTACAGTAGGACAGAGTTCACAATGATGTGTACTGTTCCTGAAAATAGCTGAGGGAGTTTCTAATATGACTTTAATGAAACAATAAAAGTTTGTGTTTAGTGTAAAATGTCAGTTAAAAAAAAAGAAAAGAAAAAGAACCAAGATGGAGAGTTTCAGTTTGTGTTAAAAACAATACCTGATATGTCTTCTAGAAGAGACTTAAGCATCTAATAACCCAGGTTCCGACAGGATTCTACACCAAACATTTCTTATGTTATTAACAGCAAGATCTGCTGATAATCCTCTGTGGTTACAGCGGTATGATGTCCCATACTGTCTGTTTCGTTTTGATACATAAGAGGCCATTTTCTTCTCCCGCCTTTCTCATACCGCATACACATGTATCTCCTTCTAGATTCACATGCCTCCCACAGCACAGTCGGAACATAGTTTTTGTATCCTTATTAGGAAGCAATATTAGAAATGGCCTCTCAAAAAAAGAAAGAAAGAAAGAAAGAAAGAAAGAAAGAAAGAAAGAAAGAAAGAAAGAAAGGAGACTGATGGGGGATGTCCTTCTGTATACACGTTTCTCTTATTCGTTGATGAATAATCACTGGCGAATAGAGACAGGAAGACAGGCGGGGCGAGGAGACAGGGAGAATTCTGGGAAAGGTAGGCAGAGGGGAGCCGCCAAAAGAGAGATGCCTTGGAGGGACTGGGAGGATAGAACGCGTGTTCTCCGGTAAGAGAAGATCACATGGAAATATGTAGATTAATAGAAATGGGTTCATAATTAGGACAGAGCTAACCAATAGAGAGCCCTAGCCATCAGCTAACAGTTTAATAATTAATACAAGTCTGTGTTTATTTGGGGCTGAGAAGGGGGGTGGGGCCAGGCTAGAAAGAACCTCCACAACATAAAATATTGCTGATCTGGTTTTTAGCTTTATTAAAAAAAAAGAAAAAAAAAAAAGCCAGGTGGTGGTGGCTCAAGCCTTTAATCCCAGCACTCAGGAGGCAGAGGTAGACAGTCAGATTTCTGAGTCTGAGACTAGCCTGATCTACAGAGTGAGGTCCAGGACCACCAGAGAAACCTTGTCTTGAAAAACTACAAAAAAAAAAAAAAAAAAAAAAAAAACCTGCTTCACTCACAGAACCAGTTAGGGTAGTTATGGTTTCAAAAGGGTGGAGTTTCAAAAAGTCCCAGTTACACACACAACAGCTTCCCATTGGGTAAGTGTTTGGTTTCAAATGTCAACACTGCTGGGTCAAAGGGAGCTGGAGTTTTGGCCAGCTCGGGATCTAGTACCAGACTTTCTCAAAGAATCAACAATCAGCAGAAGGCAGAAGCAGCAGCATCAATAGATAACAATAATAATAACAAATTTCAGTTAGGAGAATACTTAAATAATAAGCATCAATAATTTTGTCATGAATTTTGTATTTTGGTAAATATCAGTCTTGTTGGGATCTAGTACCAGACTTTCTCAAAGAATCAACAATCAGCAGAAGGCAGAAGCAGCAGCATCAATAGATAATAATAATAATAACAAATTTCAGTTAGGAGAATACTTAAATAATAAGCATCAATATTTTTGTCATGAATTTTGTATTTTGGTAAATATCAGTCTTGTTTTCTCAAAATCCAGTATCTTTCCCTAAATGAAAAAAAATTAAGGTGAAGGGACAGGGAAGGGAAAAGAAGATAAAAGAATGAAATATAATGAAACAGACATTTTCAAAACACAAGAAACAATTTTGCTTTCTTCCTGAAGACTAAAGTAGAAAACCCCATTATGTTCTTTTCCACAATTTACTATGAGCTCCAAAATGCAAAGAATTTGGTTCTGGGTGGAGTAAGCCTCCCACCCCAGGCCACCTTCTTACATTCCTTTTTTCATTACCGTGAATCTGCAAAACAAAAGCCCCAGCTTCCCGGGCAACTTCTGTCACTATGCACATTGCAAAGCTGTTGTTTCAATTTGCCTTTGCCTGGGAAGTGTAGAGCAATCAGGGACTTGGTGTAATTCTCCAGAGTGTAAGTAACTTACCAGATCCCTGGCTAAAGAGTGAACTAGCAAGCTAAGTACAAAGGTAAAAAAAATGCCGTGACTCAGGTGGGAACTATTCAAGTATCATATGCTCCAATAGACTAACTAATGTAGCTAAACTCCTGTCTGCATTCTCCGGTTCTGCAGAGTCCCACTGTGACAGGCTCACAAGCTTGAGTTTCAGCTCTGCTCTCCCTGTGTTCCCGTCCCTGGCCAGCACCTCTCTTTCTGCTCTTGTAGTTTGGCTCGAATATGTATTAAATACATACCCATCTCGCCCTCCTGCAGGCGGGGTGTTGTACCAAGTATGCTCACAAAAGTTTCTGCAGGCTCGGCAGCACTCATCTCGGAGTGCAGACTCTGCAGTTCAGCTACAGGAGGATAGAAACCGAAAAGCTGAGAGAACGATTAACTGCTCGCTCGTCGTCGTGTAAGTTGGGCGGTCCTGAGTACGTTGTCCCAGTTGGGCGGTTGGATTCAGCTGTTCAGCTTCCTCCTCCTACTCTACTCCTACAGCCCTGACTACCATATGCCAACCAAGCACTGATCTTCTGGATAGGAAAGTCCTATGTTGCTAAAATTTTAACTCTTAAGAAGGGGTACCAGGAAACCCTGTCTCAAAAAAACAAAACAAAACCAAAAAAAAAAAAAAAAAACCAAGAAGAAGATACCAGGGGGCCAGGTCAAAGGATTCTATGTGCTAAGGGTCCAGAGACTGAATCTCTAGGAGATGAGTCAGAGAGGAGAGAGCTGGAGACCTGCAGTGTCCACAGTCAGTGGACACACTTCTCACCTCTCCGGGAGTAAGAGTTCGTTAATTCTGGAGTTATTAGTGAACATGACCCAGGACCGTGGATTCAGGCTGTCTCCTTTACCACGTTCCAATATGGAAGTGTTTTTGTCAGTGGTGTGGGGACAGAAAGGTAGCTCCCACTGTCACCATCATCAGTCCAAGAAATGCCTCTAGAGCAGTGGTTCTCAACCTTCCTAACACTGAGCCCCTTTAATACAGTTCCTCACGCTGTGGTGACCCCCAACCACACAATTATTTCATTGCTGCTTCACAACTGTAATTTTGCCACTGTTATGAATCAGAATGTAAATATTGATATGCAGGTTATCTGGTGTGCGATCCCCATGAATTGGTCGTTCAACCCCCGCAAATGGGTCCCAACCCACAGTTTGAAAAATCACTGCTCTAGATTTTTCAGGCATCTTTGTCTTAGGCCAAGCCATAGTTCATAGCTTTGATGCCGGAAAAAAAAAAAAAAGAAAGTTCAGGGTTGGGATAGTTAATGAAGCAGAGTTGGAGGTTTTCTAAGATGTATTATATTTAATTTTATGTCTGTGGGTGTGACTGTCTATGATTGCAGGTGCCTGCTGAGGTAAGAGCTGGAACTGCAGGCTTGAAGAGCTTGGGTTTAGAATGCAGGTGCCCCATTGGCATCTGAGGACCAAGCTGCCACAGGATCCATGCTCCCCTGAGTGGCCTGTGCTGCCACTGGGGCAGTGGTGACATCTGAGCTTGAGCTGCTATCAAGGGCCATGTCTGGGTTTGTGGTCCTGCTGCTGCTGGAGTGTCTGCTGATGTCTGTGGTCCATGTCACCACAGTGGGTCATAGGGCCCACACAAGTTGAAATCTAAGGGCCATGCTGAGCTGGCCCCTCCCTTCACTGGCCTTAGGATAGCTGGCCTTACACATTGCTGGACACTATAGTAGGAGAGCTGGCCTGGGTCCTCATGAGCGAGCTGGCCCCCACACTCATCAAGGGTGTGGGAGAGCTGGCCCTGATGGTGTGGGCATAGAAGAACTTGCTCTGCCCCTCACCTGAGGTGGGGAGGGGGTCCCACCGGCCCAGACTGATCAGCTCAGCTACCACCCAGACTCACATCCTGGGCCTTGGGTTTGGGGTACCTAACATCTACTCCATCTGTGATCCACCGCATTTTGTGAAGGGACTGGCCCTGTGGAAAGATAGCCTCAGGATCTCCATGACTCAGAGAAACAGCAGGATGTCCAGAAGGTGTTTTGGGGAGGGTCCAGTGATGATGGTGTGCCACAGGCAATGACTCACTGCAATGACCATTTTCAGATGGGACCGATTGGAAATGTGAGACACACGGCAGCTCCATTGCCCCTAGGAGGAATGGAGAGGTGCTGGAGAGATGGGGAAAGACAAGGAGCAAGGGGATTTTTCAGTTCTTTGTCTTCTTTTATTTATTTATTTCCAATGCATTTGGGGGAGGTGTCCTTTCGGGAGGGATGCTGCAGTGGTCTGGGGGGACAGGGAGGTGACTGGGTACAAGAAATGAAATTCCCAAAGAATCAATAAATAATTGTTATAAAATTATAAGTCTATAACATCTTAAAACCTTTTAATTTGGATTTATTTATTCTTATTGGGTATATATGGGGGTTTTACCTGCATATGTGTGTACCACATGTATGCCTGATATCTGAGGAGACCAGAAAAGGGTGTTAGATTGCCCCAAACTGGAGTTACTGGCAGTTGTAAGTTGATAAGTGGGTGCTGGGAACAGAACTCTGGTCCACTGCAAGAGCCACAAGTGCTTTTAATCACTGGGCTGTCTCTCCATGCCTGTTCATACATTTTAGGGGTAATATTGAGGGTATAGGAGTCAAACGTATTTCTAATAGGCAAACAGATAGGAAAAGAAGCCATAACTAAGTAATAAGGAGGCCAACTTCCAAGATGGCAGCTTCTTCCTCATCCTCTTGACCAGAGACAAAAGCCTAACAAAGGCCCTGAAGGCTTTGACCTGGCTGATACCATATCCCATCCCTCATGAACCCACCTAACAACTTCAAATCCCAATCCTTCTCCCTGCCCCACGCTCTCTGCCTCTTCTGGCCTCTCTCTCCCCCTTCCATTCTCTCTGCCCCCCTCCTGCTACCCCTCCCCCTTTGCTTCTCTCCCTCTCTCCCTGATCACTCTGCCCTCGACTCCCTCTTTCCTCCAACCTCCAGATCACAAAATCCTGCTGGCTCCTGACTAGAGTTTATGGCAGCCAGGCTGGCGCCATCTGGAGACCATTTTCTGGTTTACTTTGTGTTTCATTTCTCGTCAGAGCTCTGACTTAGAAAGGAAACTGTTAACACAAGCAGACCTTACTAAACCCCAAGGTCTTTTCTTGTAGCTGGAGGCCTCTTCCTGTGAGCCAGAGATAATAGCTCTTAGCCTGGCCCCCTGACAAGGATTCAGAGTGAGGACAGAGCAAACACTAGCCCAGTGATAAGGACCTCTGGTTCGTTTCTTTTCTTATCACAGGTCTGCAGCAGTTCTGTCAGTAAGGGAGCTCTGGAGAGGCACAGGCAGAGTCCACTCCTGGCCTGGGTTGGGGAGACATACCAGAGGAAGCCCAGGGACGTTTAGGCAGTGTGTTAGACGAAGTAAGTGCCTGTTCATTTTTCAGACACACAGAAGGCACACTGCCAAGAGCAAGTTTGGCTAGAGTTCACGACAAAGTCAATGTTTATTTGTACCCTGGGCCTGTGTGCTTCCCACCTTAGGGAAACGGATCAGGGGCAGAACAGCAAATGTAAAAAGCCTCAGTAACTTCCACTCAATAGTGGTTAAAAGCACTGTTTTTAGGCATGAAAGAAAACAGAGAACTGTGTGACACTGTAATTACTGGGGTATCAGGTTTCCAGACATCTCCAAGGTTCTACCTTGACTAGGAGATTTCCCTGGAACAATTTCAGAAGTAATTGTAGTTTGTCTGCCCTGACTCTCAGGAGCTATAGGAAAGCAGTGATGTTAACAGCCAACTTTATTCCTTGAAGAACACATTTTACTGTGCAATAAATAATTGTATCCAATAGCCATCTTCACCTATTTGAAACATTGGAGAGTTACCCATTGACCCATTAAAAACTCAGTTTACTTATTAGTAATTGCTGATTCATTTACTTGTGTATTGGTTTGTTTATTTGATATCTACCACCATGCTGGTACCACACCTGTAATCCCAGCACTGGGGAGGTAGAGGCTGGAGGATAAGGACAACTCAGGCTATGTAAGACACTTTCTTGGCTAGGCATTGGTGGCACACGCCTTTAATCCCAGCACACAGGAGGCAGGGGCAGGCAGATCTCTGTGAGTTCAGGGCCAGCCTGGTCTACAGAGCAAATGCCAGGACAGGCTCCAAAGCTACACACAGAAAACCAAAAAAAAAAAAAAAAAAAAAAAAAAAGACACTTTCTCAAAAATCCAAGAAAACAAAACAATAAAAATCTCATTGGATGTTATCAATCTGCCTACGTAACACACATAGCTATTGGGGGTACAGAGGTCCTTGCACTCATGGTAAGCACTAGGTGAACCAGGAATGTTAAACACGCAGGCTTGTCTCTTCAATGGAGGAGATGTGTAACCTGTATTCTACCCAGAAGTCTGGAAATGGAAGTGATTGATAACCTAATGGTCCCTATGCTGTCTGTAGGGCCAAGCCACACCTGGCTTCCCCAAACTCTTCCCTGTGAGACCCTTATCTTAAGCTCTGTTTCTCAGTCACCCTTAATGGAGATGTTACATGTACTTTACAAACGGGAGCAGAGGTGGTTAATAACCTAGGGGACCTCTATGCTATCTGTATGACCGTGACCACACCATATTCTTCCCCAGAGCCTTAAAATATCTCATGCGGTGAATATATTGAACCCATCTTTATGGAAGAAGTCACAAGTACTTTACAAAGAGGTTCAATGTAGTCCTGCATTAAGCTTTATTGTTTGTGTACATGGGATTGAGTTCATTGCAACCAGGAAACTTTCTTCTAAAATTGTGCTGTGTTTAAATGTGCCTAGAACAATTATATTCTAGAACTCTGAATTGGCACTGGCTACTGAGTCATGCTAAACTAGAACCTCTTGTTTCACATGGATAGTTGTTCTGCTCGCTGTGGAGATCACAGAGAACCCACACTTCACTTGCTATTAATCATGTCCATAACAGTTATGATTTATTCACCTCAATTTTTCCATAAAATAATCTTACTTGAGGCATACTCCTCGAACAATGGAGCCCAGCAATGATGAAGTTGACAAAATACTGAAAGCAAATATTTACATTTACAATGGCAAGTTGATATTCCTCTGACAACCAAAGCAAACTCCACATCACTGAACAGAAGACAGACCAGTACATCAAGAGCAGGCTTAATGTTGAATCAACACAGGTGTGGACTGGATATGAGCCATGGGAAATGGGGCACACTAAATGCTGTGACAAAATAAGGTCACTTTCTCAATGTCACTCCATGTATAAAAAACTGAAAACCATTTACATAATTTGTTTCAATGTAGTGAAAATTAATCACATAAAATTACAACACAACCATTAGAAATGGATATTGATGAGTTTTTTGAACATGCAGCTGAGCATGCCACCTCTTGTACCACGTTCATA